GTCATGTTTCTTCTTTGCTGAGTGTGAAGTAATACATCATTTTGAATGTGGAGGCACCTTGGTATGAGTCATATACAATTTCTGGAATCATCAGTAGGGTCAAGGAACTATTAATATTTCTGGTCTCCTATTCTTATTTTGTATTTAGCATTAAAGAACCATTAGAATGCAAATTTATTAATAAAATTTTGACAGACTGGAATATACTATTTATTTTATAAATCATAGGTCATTAGCATACATAGGATTTCAACCTAAGATTTTGTTTTTCACTACAAAAGTCCAGCCTTACCCCAAGGCCACCTGTATAAAAATCTCTTGGATACCCTTGAAATCTGGAGAATTATTATAAATCTCCCCAAGGGATTCTAATGATGATTTAGTTTTAGGAACTACTACTCTAGAATATTTCCAGACAAAAAGATCTCTATTTTTCAAAATTCTCCCTTCTTAACAAGTGCTCTTAAAACATATCCAATCATCTCTGAATATTGGATGGAGTGTGGTAGATTGACTCACCTGACCTCTGCTGCCATTGCCTCCCATCTTTCTCTCTGCTTTGCAGAGACAATAGAGAATGAAACATTTCCCAAAATCCCTTACACCTAGACTTGATTTAGGCCATGTCTATATGTAACTGTGTAAGACCTGAATTCAAAATTCAGTTAAGTGGTGAGAGAGGATGCACCCAAGACATCCTTTTTGCTATTGAGCTTTGGCCCATGTGATGTGGCTGTGAATGAACCTCCCCTCATTTGACGACAGTTAAGGCAGGATATTTCTGGAGTCAGCAGGTAGAAAAACAGCTTCCTGATTCCCCAGCTCTGCGATTATGGTGGAGATAACAGTTTTCCTTCACAGACCAGTTTCTGTGATGTGGTGGTGTGTTCTGGGAGTATTCCCAAAAGCTCAGCTCAGCATGAAACCTAGTCCTTCAACTCTTCCAAGAATTTTGTAAGCATCAAATTCCCTATAATTTTTCCTGTTTCTGTTAAAAATAGCTAGAATTCTTTCTTTAATCTTCAACTGACTCCATATTAATACTTCCTTTTATCACTACCTGTTGGGTAATCATTACTCAAAGCTAACTTTGGCATTTCATACGCAAAATTAACAACAGAGATCTTCATTATAAGAAACTCCTCCTTCCCCAAAAGAAAATCTTCTAGATTTTTTATTTACTATTGATAATAACCCATAATAAGCAGACCAGAGGATCCATTGAAAGAACAATTTCTGTGCATACTCATTGGCACCAGGTTTCCACATACAGCATGTCACAAAAGTCTCCTATTCTTGCATTTGTAAATCCATCATGCATTTGGATGTTTTCTCAGACTATTCTATGTGTTTTTATTTCAAATAAAAAAAAGAAACTAGAAATAATGAGCATTAATTTTCTTTTAAAATTAACATGACAGAAATGAGGAAAAGGTTAGATATTCTTCCTGGGGGGTTATACATGCCTAGGCTGCAAAGAGAGGAAACATTTGGATAGAAACTTGGAAAAGACCATATGTACAATAGTTTAGATACTTACTTTTTGAAGTTCTCTCATTCTCTGTGTTCACACTCTATGTTTGTTCATATCTTTAACATTTGTTGAACGAACACTGTGGACTTTATACTGTGTTAGATAATATAGGGCGCAATGGAGAAAAAAGAACATAGGTGCTAAAATAAATGCTTCAGGGGACTTGTGTTGTAATGGGGGAGGAAGATATTAAACAACTGATTACTAACATATTTAATTAAAATCACAGTATGTTTAAAAAGACAAATAAAATAATGGGATGACATAATTGGGGTTCTGATCCAATCTTCCTTGAGGAAATATATTTGAGATAAGCAGTGAAAGACAAGTATAAATTAGCTTGGGGGCTGGAGAGGAGACATTCCTTGACAGAACTGCGGCATATAAATGGCCTGAGTAAAGAAGGTCCCAAAACTCTTTTATAACTAACCTGGAACAGAATTCGCTCCCAAATCATTTAGTCAGTTACAGAGCTGGTTAAAAGGTTTCCTCTACATGTTATGCCTAAAAATAGAGAGAGTATGCCTAAATAGAGAGAGTAGAATACCTAGGTAATGGGAGGTAAAGGGAATTAAAACTGCAGAAAATAGGAAACAATGAGAAGAACACTGGAAAAATAGTAAATACCTCATCAGATTGTCTTTATTAGTTTTTTATTCTCCAGTAGCGTACAACACTTCTTTTCAAGAGTGTATCACATTGGGAGGCACATCTTCTCTCTGGTCTTGTCTACATTTTAACAAGTGCATAAGTATAAAAAATTTCACAACACTGAAGGACAGAAGATTCACAGGTTTTTTTCCACCTGTCCCCCCCCCCATCGAATTCCATTACTCATATGCAATTAACCCCTGCTTGAAGGTTGGGATCTTCATCACTTTTGGCACCTAAAGCTGGTTTAGCTGGTTGATTGTTTGTGGGGGGAGGAGGTATGATGATAGGTGTGCCGGTTATAGAC